AACAAGAAAAGTGACAATTAATTAAGGGATTTTAGAGTTACAAGAAAGCAACCACTTTATCCCAATTTCTATCTGGATTGGTTAATAGGTTTGGTGTCATGTTTATTCATATTTAACAGTAGCAGCTGAGACGCGGCTCAAATGAGTCCACACATTTCTCTTTTCTTTTTTCTTTTCATGGGATGAGTTTCAGTCCAATGTCCTACTGACCAACAGAATTTGTCATTATCTTACCCTTCTATTTCTTGAAATTCAAGACAAGCTAGCTCAATAATCTTACATATTGAACTGCAAACAATTTTTAAGTCTAAGGTATTTAGATATATTGACTGATTCAAGACAAGCCCAATTCTAAGATATATCTAGCAGTCAGCCCAATAACTGACTGCAATCAAATGAACATTATTCATAATATACCTAAGGTATTTAGATAAAATAGAAAAACAGAAACAAATCAATACCCAGTTGACAACCTATAGAACTTTTAATAAACTTAAACAGATAAAAATAGAACTCCCTATTCATTCCTAAAGACAAAGTTATTTTAAAAGATAACTTGGAACTTGCAAGAAAAAAAGTACTACAGTAGCTACCTCTTTCTTCCTGCATCAATTTTCTCTTCGCATCCACAAGTACCTAAAAATCAAAAGCTTGTTCTTGGATGTGTATTTGACACACCTAAAGTAAAATTATTCATAATATCTGTAATTATATTTGACACAGATGACATATCAGTTAAAAAGCAACAGAGGTTTGGCTTTCTGTGCACACATTTATGATAATGTTGTAAGTGATGAAATTTGGGTGCATTTAAGGTCTTTCATGGACTGAAAGTAGACAAGGGCTTCATTAATTTCGTCTGTCTTCACTAGCGCATCAAGAACGCAGTTCCATGTGTACACATTAGGTGCCAATCCCTTGTGGATCAACTCTTCCATGATAAGATATGTCTCATCTATTCTACCAACCTTTCCAAAAGCATCAACAAGACTGCTATACCTTACTACATTTATGCCTACTCTTGATTTTGCTTCTCCAAAGAGCGTGCATGCTTCATCAAGCCTATCAATCTTGGAAAGCCCATGAATGACTAATCCATATGTAACCACTAAGGGTTGGTAATCCTTTGTCTTCATTTCCTCCAGAAGTCGGTAACCGTTCTCTCAAACAATCTGTAAGCATCATCAACCTTACCTTGCATACCCAAACCATCTATCATAGAACAATGGCTGAGTTTAGGCAGTCTGGATCTTCATCTCACAATGGCTATTTTTTGTTTCTCTTTCTGGAAAGCATACATATTCAGAGAACTTTGATTTTTTTTACTGTATATAATACAGGTGCACCAGCAAGGACAGTGGGGTGGCGTACACAAGTTTTCTGAAGGACCTGTGGGCCAATTCAGTGTAAGTAGCTTTTTCCTTTTGCCTATACATTTGTGTGTGTTATCATTATGTCTGTGTTCTAGCCAAGCTTCCAAGAAATAGTCTCAAAAGCCTGTTCGATTAATGTTCTAACAATTAATTTAACCTATGTAATTTTTATATAACAGTTTGGTAGCATATTTGTGGGGATCTAGGAGTAGCCCCAGTAGGTGTGAGGGAGGATGAGTGGAACACTGAAGCTTTAAAAATTCTAAAACGACAATCCGCTTTGCTCCCTGATTCTTTGGTTCTGCACAAATTTCAGACTTACTAACATTATAAGCTTTAAAAATTTCCCTGTAAACTCTTTCTAGTCCATGTGTCAAACCCCTATTCCGGAATTGGAATTTCCATGGTATTTTAGGGATGGATTGTTGTTACCATTTTCCTCTCAAGGATTCTGACCAACATCCAATCTGAAATACCTTTTACATATAAATGGTTAACTGTTTATTAATTGATTTGTTATTAGTATAGATTATCACATCTTGTAGAAATGAGCATTCAACCTCTTCTATATTAAATTGAAATGTTTCAAATGGTAGCAAACATGCTTGTTAGTTCATCCAGATTCTTCACCTCATAAACTCACAATGGGTGTCATGCTTCTGTTACAGAATGTTTATACAAGTAAAGAAAGTCATACTATCAGAGTCCCTTGAATGGAACCAYCCATGTAGTTGCTGGGGGAGGAGGTGCTAGCCTTGCAGATTTCACCACAATACATACCAAATGGAGTTATTATAACGACCCTGACTTTGGATTCATAAAGCTTACAGCATTTGTCTACTCAAATCTGTTGTTTGAGTACAAGAAGAGCAGTGATGGGAAGGTCTATGACTCCTTTAGAATCTCACGAGATTATAGGGACATTATGGCTTGCAGTGTTGACAGTTGCCCAATAATGACGTTAGCTTCTTGAAGAGAATACACTTGGGTATCTATGTAAATTTTTACTCATTGCAGTGGTAAATTGTCACATCTCTTTCATGTTCCACCACAGAGAAACATAAATTCTAGTATCCTAGTCTTTGCAAACCAAGAGTCTAGACCATAAAGAAACAATTCGGTTTTCTGCAAAATTGTTGTAATTTCTTCATTTTCCTACAAAATTTCTGTATTTTTTATTTTTTAAATAAAATTTCTGTAATTTTCTGCAATTTTTTTTCAAAATTTCCAGTATTTTCATGCAATTTTCTGAACTTTCTACAACATTGTTGCAATTTTTCATTTCCTGCCAAATTCTATAGTTTTATGAAATTTTCTACAAAATTGTTGTAATTTCTGCATTTTCCTGCAAAATTTTAGGTATTTTCATGCATTTTTCTAAATTTTCTGAAAATTTGTTGTAATTTCTACATTTTCTTGAAAAATTTCAGTATTTTCATGCATTTTCCTGCAAATTTTTTGGTATGTCCATGCATTTTTTTTATTAGGGGCAAAATTTCCTACCTCTTAATGAACCAAACAGCATAAATCTAAATCCGATTCCAATTCCTGTTTGAACCAAACAAGCAGGGGGAATAAGCCATTCCAATTCCGATTCCAAGGGATTCTAATTCTAATCGCAAACCAAATGGGCCCTAAGAATTTTGGCACCAGAGCAAATCTTCATATAATGGGAAGGAAAGATTCTTTTGGGTGAAAGACTTAAACATACCATAACTTTTCAGAAATTGCCTTAAAAATACCCTGAATTTTTAAAATAGACTTAAATATACCTTTGGGATGACCCCACTGGACTTAAGCATACCAATGTAACTAATAAAAAAATTTTAAAATCTTACTTTGCCCCGGAACATTTGAGTTGCAAAATACAACTATTCTTTGTTGGGCTTTTCAAAAAGGAGATAGCTGAGTTTAATTTTGCTCTTTCATGGATGGAAGAATGCATCCTTATGAGTGCCTAGAGAAACAATGGCCAAAATTGAAAATATACTTCTTAGTTCCAAGATTTTGAGTTTCTTGTAGTTGAGCATCTGATCCAATGGGGGATCTGTCAAGCTCTTGGTTTGCAGATAGCAGTAGGACAAACAGGGACATGAATTAACTTTTAAAAGAGTGACAGAAATAAAAAGAACGATGAGTTGTGCTGCTAGTAGAATAAGTTAACATTAATGATCAATTGTGCTGGCAGCTAAGATGATTGGACAATAAATTTGCTTCTTAATAGCCACCAATTCAGAGGCACCATTACTACATTAGATTTTGATGATGGGTCTTTGAAATATGAGCACATTGTTCAATCTCCAACACATTAGACCTTCCTCTCTCCTCTATCAGATCTCCCAAGCTAGTATCAGAAACCTTGATGTTATAAATATTCCATCTGGGAAGAGATCAATGTCTTCTTGAGTCAAATGATGTTCTAAATATTCCTTATTATTTTTTTGATCGATCTAAATATTCCTTATCATTGGCTTGTTGAACTATATTAATAGTACATTCAGTGTATTGTTCCTTCTTAGCTTTTATATATTAATCAATTAACACACTCCATAAGAAACTATTCAATCATTACCAAAAACTAAAATAAAAAAAAAAAGATGTACTACTATTCATTTATGCTAGCTTGTTAAATGGTGGTTGAATTAAATTTTCAACTGGAACCCAATGTCAGGAATCACGAATGGTGTTTTGATGGTGGTGCTGATGTCGACGGTAACTACTTCCTTACCAGGATGTTGCATTTGCCCCAATGGTAAGAGGACATTGAATTGAGGGGAGGTGCAGCCTGATATATACCCACCATCCAGATTGAACAGTAGAAAAGTTAAAGTTCTTTAGATATCTTTGGTTCTTCTATAAAATTTGAGAGAAAATGAAGGGTAAATGGTGGCAAGGTATCTTTGAGTCTATTTTAAAAATTCAGAATATGTTTTAAGTTAATTTATAAAAACTTAGGACCCCTTTTCCTTTTAAGGGATTACAGAGTAAAAATGCACTAGCTACCAACCTCAAATTTATCTATGGTTTGGGATGGCGATGCTAAAGTTTTAAAAAGTTCACACCAAAGGAGTTGGCCAAAGCAAGGTTCAAAGTATTGATACGTATCGGCCAATACAATACTACATATCATATCAGAGCCTTCCCGATACACCCCTACAGGGGGTGTTTCAGGTCGGCAAGTGGTTCAGGGGGTAGACCGGCCTTAAACAGGCCCCTCTGAACCAGATTCAAAAAAATATTAAAAACAAAAAAAAAAACAAAAAGAATACCGATACAGGCGGGTGTATCGCCCTGTATGATACTTTGAACCTTGGGCCAAAGCCTCATCACGTTTACTAATCAACAACTACTTCTATACTCTAAAGTTAATTTTCATTAACAAAGATTATTATCATCTAGGTTGATGTGAATATTTCAAATCAAGATTGTGTAGATCTTTTTTTCCTTTAAAAAACAGGTAGATTATCCAGTTTAAGAAATGACAAAAGCAAGCTTCCGGTAAATTCCTTCAAACCAAAGCTAGCCTCCAGGACCGGTAAACTACCAAGACACCCCGATATTAAAATTTAGAAGACACAAATACCCTTGATATGGAAACCGGACACGTGTAAAAAGCAATGATGATGGTAGACAAAGATCTATTCTTATGGAGTGAGACGCACTAGATAATACAATAAGAAAATATATAATTTCCAAACCTTGGACAAAAAGACAAGTCCCACAGTCCTACTGTCATGACTGACATCTGTTTTAAAAAGATACAAACTCAATTTATCTCCTTTGCTTGAACAGTCTGGGAATTTGATTGTAAAGAGAATTTCATTTTAACTCCTGCTTTTCTTTGATTTCAGTGGTTTACTCAATAGATATTTGAACGTGAGAAACTGAGAATTTCAGGGTAAAGTAACTTACTCCAACAGCAGCAGGATCTACCACATTGCTTTGGAGTTTAAAAACTGTTTTGTCTCTTAAAATACCACAGTGTCCAGCATTGTCCCCAGTGTCTGAATTATGTTCGCCGACATCAAATTCGACACATGCTCTTCCAAATGCTTCTTGGCGTCCTGTCTGCCAACATTTGCAATAGCCAGCTTTTCAGGAGGTAACTCATCTTCTTCCTGAACTGCCTTGTTGTATTTGATGGCCAAATTCAGCATCTCCTGATTATTTTCAACAAGATGACAAAAAAAACATGTCAACGTTAAGAGCCATATACAGATGACTATTGGAGGTTCCCAAAATATCCTGGTAAATAAGAGAATAAACCATAGCTAAATGATGAGTTCAAAACTAGAAACGGATAGAGGATAGGTTGAGAAGTGAATTGGAGTAGCAAGAGTGACACCAGAACAGCTCAAGTCTAGGCTGTTTCAAAAGTGCAAATGCAAACAAAGGGAGAGAATAGTAAGGGTCACAAAATTTCTGCAGTAGAATACATATCACTTCCAGAAAGTTAAAACTTAAAACTCCCCATTTACCCACCTGGACAGTCTGTTCATTGGTTTTGGAGTGGGCATCAAACCGCTGTAGTGTCAAACCATCAGTCCATTTCTTTTTATGTAGGTTCAATAACATCTTCTCCTCGAGTTCGTTCTTCCTGTAATTAATGGCAATTGAGTAGTAGTGCCGGTTCAGCCCGTGGATCAATGCCTGGTGGTGATCATAAAAGGGGATAGGTTAACTTGTGAAAATGGCTTGCAGTAGGGATCAATGATATCTTAGGGAGGCATAACTGCAACCACAAGCACTCACCTGAATGGATGGCTTGTTCAGATGTCCAAGGTTGGAAGTTGTCTGGCGTGGTTCTTGGCCAAGCATCATTGTCTGTGGGTTGATCAAGCGGAAGGCATCAATGACCACCTTCCCTTTCACACTTTGAATTGGATCTACCACCACAGCAACAGCCCTTTGATTTAGAGCCTCAAAACTCTGCAAGACAGAATTGAAATGAGTGCATAAAAGAAGTAGCATGTGTAACTCCATGAATTAGACAAAAATGGCAGAATGAACAATAGCAGGATGCATCTACAGATGAAGGTTTAATAAAGCAAATATTTTTTTTTTCTTTTTGGAAACATGTCAGTCACTAAAGAAAGGTTTTGTACATGATGCTGCTGATGATCTGGCTAGACTATCAGCCAAATATGTAGAAAAAACATATCTACATGTTCAATCCATATTTGTAAATCCAGACCAAAGATGAATACGAGTATAGGACTTGCCAAAACCATCATTCTTATGTCTCCTTTAAACCAGTTTCTAAACATTAGACATTCTATGATAAAAAGAGTATATTTAACAGATATTTGTTTACAAGGTGTACCTGCTTGCTGTAAACTGGATATCATAAATGTGGCTATAATTTCCAGCTTTATGTCTTCTGAAGTGACAGTAGACAATCTTGTTAATTCCAAGTCCAACACTTGGTTTACACCAACATTGTTTTATTATTAAGTATATTGAGAGCTCTAGTGATGTCTGAATGGAGAATACAATTTACAAGTTTACTAAACAAGGCATAATTCAATGTACTTCGATGTTTTTCTATGCCATGTCAGCATCTTGTGAAAGAAAACTGCTTTAATTTTTTGAAAAGGAAAAACAAAACAATGGTCAGTAAACAGGTTTCCCTATTTTCAGTGAGGTGGTATAAACAGAAAATAGTACCTGTTGCGTGTTTATGTCAACCCCAGAAAGCCAGCAACCAAAGCCAGGATGTGAATGGTACCAACCAACCACCATTTCTGGTCTGCAGTAAAGCAAAGAAGAATAAGCAACAAAGAAGAGAGAAATAAGGGGAAAGGGAGAATCAGTAGCATAAGCATGGTAGATTGACAGGATTTTTTGAAGATACAGGATCATGCAAGAAAAACAGAACACAACAAACAGATAATGTGTATGCGATAAACTATCCCTCTTGCAGGTATTCCAAACAAGAGAGCCAGACATTTTTATGATCAAATTCACGGGGCTAGAACACAATATATGATGATTAATAGGTAAAAATCCAGCACCATTTAATATGATAAATGCTATTAAATTTTCAAATAATATAGGGAAGTTGGAAAAATTTATAAATCACCTTTGATGTTAAAAATGGATTCAAGACAAAGAATATCTCCAACAAAGACAGCATTTTTAATGGTAGTAAATGTCCAAACATGGTCATGCCATCATGGGCAAATAACAATTTATGTATTTGCTGAAATTAGTTGATTAAATGCTTTTGTCATATATGAAACTCCACCCAATGAAGAAGTCCCTTTAAAAACTACCAAATGGATTCTGAAAGCTTGTTAACTAAAGATGGATTAGTCGGTAATTAAGTAAATCCTTTGCTCTTTTTGGCACTTGTTCCCTACTTTGCCACCCAAATCTTTTCTCTTATTTAGAGGCTTACAGAAGTGTTATCAGCACGGTGAAGATAAAGCCATAACTAGTTGTTTTAGCCTCCTTAGGCAATGCAATGACTAATCAGCACATAGGCATTGACTCTCCGACTGGCCGACCACAAGTGCTTATCTAAATTTTGATGCAATGGTCAATATAAAAATATTTAATAACTGTGAAAATCCATTAAAACCGATGATATAGAACATTTAGTATATAATCTCTCTTTTGCAAACATAAAGAAAAGGTCCGATAGGCTTAGGGAGCAACACTAACAGTTTAGGGAGGGAGAGAAGCATGTGTTTATAGCAACTCCATAGCAGCATACTACTGATGGGAAGACCTAAAAGAACTCCACAGTTTCACTTTTATGTTAGCCTTTTGTTTTCTATTTTATAATATAATTTCCTCACCTGACCATATGCAATATACATGCTTATATACAATTTTAAAAGATCTACTAAACATAAATCAATTAAAACTATAAAGTTAACTCTGATAGTCTGATCTACTAAGCAAACTAGTTGTTGGTCAATCTAGTTAACCCAATTGATGCTTAGTCATCCTAGATGACTGCATCACGGCTCACGGGTAATTGACAACTAGTTAGTCATGCAGTTATCATGGCCACCAAATGACTAGTGGTTGACTGGTCAATATTTTTAATTTTTTATAACACTGATATAGAGCCACACTAAGCCAGAACAAAACCTAAAAAGGGTAACCAAGCCGATAGGTCATTCCAACATTATTGTCTACCCTTGGATATAGGTCATCCTCTAGCTCCTAGAACATACTCCCTAGGCTTAAGCAAAATGACAAAACCTAATGTCAAAGGGCTTGTGTTCAAATAATCCATATGCAGGATGAGATGGAATAACCCTCTAGTGTTCGGAAGAACACAAGATAAATAACTATCATCATTAAATTACTTCCTTTGACTTTCTTCCCCCACCAACCACCCCAAAAAGAGAAATTCCTCAGATTTGTCAAATTTTCTATTTCTTAAAAGAATTGATAAACAATTGGCAAAGCATTATTCAAGATATGAATCTTAGATAGGGAAAAGTATTTCTTGAAAGTCTAATTAGAGAATGGCTTCTCTTACAGTGATTTAAAAGGTGTGCCTAGGTGTACAGGTAAGGCACATTTTAGGGTTTGCACCTCACCTAGGTTCCGAGCACAGAACTTTCAAAAGGTGTGCGCCTTGTGTGTCTTGCTCTTCAACCCAGGTGTGCACCTTTTGAAAATTTGTGCATTTTTTCTATCCCGACAGGCTGGCCCGGCCCAGCCCATTCTAAATCGGGCTTGGACAAAATTTTAAGCTCGTGGGCTTAGGCTCAGGCTTTAAACATTGGGCCCAACCATAGTTGTCAAGGTGATGCCTAGGCAGGCGCCCTTTGAGGCTCGCCTCGCCCAATTGCCTAACAGTTTTCTACTTCCTACTATAAAATACTTTTTTTATTCATTCTTTTTTGAGATTATAATTATAAAATAGACAGTATTAAACTAAAATAATCATTTTGTGTGTTTATATACTAATTTCTTTTTATTATTTTCTTATTTATTAGGGTTTAATCAACACAAACATTGCTAAATGTTGTATTGAACCCTCAAAGACTTAAAAACCTGAACCAATAAGGAAGAACTAAAAATTTTATCTACTCAGCACATTTTCCTCTTCCATATATTCTTCTTCTACTTCTTCTTCTTCCTCTTCTTCTTCTTCTACTACTACTACTACTACCAATACTTTTTATTTTCTTCTTTTCCTATAACAAAAATAAGGTTCAGCGCCTATATTTTTTGAATTTTATTTTCCTTCTTCCTTTTCTTCTCATGGATATGTTGATTTTCTATACTTTAATATGAAATTTATACTTTTCTTATGAAAACCATGAATAATTATTAAAGAAATATGGTTATGGTACCTAGGGAACTACCCTAGGATCTATTTTTTAACATAAAAAAATCCATCGCCTAGGCATCCCCCAGTTGCCTAGCCTCGCCTTGGCACCTTGAAAACTATGGGCCCAACTATTTCGAGCAAGCTCAAGCTTTCCCAAATAAGCCCAGCTTGATAATATTATATATAGTAAAAAATATAATATATATTATATAACAACAAAGTTAGTAGTGAAAAAAGGTGTTATATATTATAATATGTAGAATATTATAAAATACACAATATATTATTTATAATATATAATTAATATAATATAAAATATTTGTCTAGATCAGGCTTCGGGCTTTATGCAGGGCCAAGCTCAGGCTTGGGCCTGGTCATTTTCTGTTTATAAAGAGGAAAAGCCCAGCTCGGGAACAGGTCTACCCCCAACCAAGCCCCTCACACAAGAACCCCATATTTGCTAATGTTTCTCATTCAGCCACCCTAATAAAAGATATTTTTAAAATACACTTAAAAGTTGTAAACCTTTTGTTATAGGGATTAAGAATTTAACACCCCGATATGGACTTGTTTGGGCTTGCCTCACGAAGCCCGGTACAAAGATGGCTCATAGAATCAAGAATGCATGATGTTTAACATCACATTAGCTATTTGAAGTAATGCAATTGGGAAAAAATAAAGAGATTAAGAGTTTACATGCTTGAATATGTTTTACATGTTATGCTTAATTTTATTTTTAAATTTTCATTTTAAATATGTTTTACATGCTATGTTTCTGTATTTTAATTTGAGATAATAGGTTTTTTAAAAACATTTATTTTAAAATTTAATTTACATTTTTAATTAATATTGTGTTTATTTTTTTAATATTTTGCTTTTTTTAATTTTTTGGCCTTTTTAAAATTTTTTAGCATTTTTTGCATTTTCGTGCCTTGCTTCAAAAAGGGGTGTGCCTCACACCTCAGGTGCAAAATGGCCCTTGAACTTTTTTTTTTGCGCCTTACGCATTTAAAACATTGTTCTCTTATAAAAAATAGAGAATGGATTCTCAAATGAGTAAGAGCCCTGCATAACATCTTCTTACCAAAAAAAAGAAAAGGGAAATATGATTTCCTAAATCCTGCCAACCAAAGCATAACATCTTCTTACCAAAAAAAGAACAACATCTTAAACCATAAGATCCAATGTGAGGTTGTGATTTATAGAACTACTCCATGGACTTTCAAACAAGTGATAAGGGAAGTGGAAAAGGTCGCAAGGGAGGTAGAGGCTGAATTCAAATGGGTTAGGAGTGGAAATGGGCTAGCTGATTATCTTGCTAAACAAGGGGCTTTGAGGCAACAATTGTTTTGGGCTGCAATGTAAAGAGTGACAGAAATATGTAATAGTGTGGGAGTTTGAATCCCATACACAAAGTTGTAAAATTTTAAATCTAATTTCAAATAAAATTCTTCTTTGCTGATCAAAAACAAATGTGAGGTTGTGATTTATACCCCTTGAAAAGTTGACCTAAGAAGGGGAACTCTATCAAAGAGAACTAACTCATAACAGAACATTAACCAATAAGAATTGAATCCATCTCCAATAATGGATAGTTGGATACCTTACATGAATAGCATAATTGATGGTGTTGGCTTCATTGTCAAAAACATTGAAACATCGAATACTAAGAAGAGAAAAGATAGCACTAAGCAGAAAAGATGCAGTGGGCAAGGTATGGTGAGGATGAAAATAGTGAATTGAGTTGTGTGAAGATCTTGTTAGAAGAGACAATTGGTTAAAGTGGAACTCATCTATAAATAAATTCAACAAAACATATATGAAGCAATTCATATATGTTACAATCATTCCATGCATACTAAATTCAACAAAACCTTATCCGAGCTATATGGGGTTGGTTACATGAATTTTGTTTTCTCAATGCATTCTATCAAGGGCCATAACAATGAAAACTTCCATAAGAAAAACCACACTTGAACATCACTAAACAAAGGAGAGTATGTAAAATATGCACCCCATTCTCAGGTTTCAGGTAGTTGGATTCAATTTACAGCAGCTCCCAAATGCATTTGGTTGAGGAAGAACTCCAAAGATAATAGACAATCCAGAAACAAATGGGGATTCATTCTCTAATTTGATTGTTTTACCCTTTAGCATACTCTTACCTTTTTTTGATAAATAAAATAAATTCATTAAAATAAAAAAGAGTACAATCTGGATAGGTGATAAGGTAGCACCAAACAGCCAAAATCAAAAAACAAAAACAGTACAATTTTAATTTTCCAATTCACAATTCTGGAACCCCACTACCTCCCACAATCTTTCTCCTAAATCTTCTCACATAAACTGAGAGAACTCTGGCAATATCAACACCCTATCTGCAACTGATTTTCCCACGGCTGCCACCAACCTATCCAGCTTCCATTCCTTGTCTTCAAACATTCTTCTATTCCTTTCTTTTCAGATGTTCCAGCAGATGGCAAATGGAATACAGCTCCATATTATTTTAGCCTTTTTTCCTCCCCTGATTCTTGGCCAAGTAGAAAAGATTTCAGCAGGTGACCTTGGCTGGAAATTCCTAACCCAAAGAGTATTGTCAAGAGGTTCCACAAGAACCCAGAAGTTTTGCATGCAAAGAAAAGATGAATGACTGATTCCTCTTCCTCCTTACACATAAAATACATGCTGCCCAAACTAATCTTTTTGACTTCAAAAAATCCATTGTCAAGACACTGTCCATAGCCACCAGCCAAGCAAAAGTTTCCACCCTAGGGGTTATTGGGTTACCCCAGACCCCACCCAATGTATCAAAGTCCATTTGGTTCCTAAACAAGGCTGAATAGCAATGACTTGACCGTAAACTTTCCATTTGAGCATTCTTTCCACCATATCTCATCCCTAGACTGGGCTGAGATCTTCACCCTCTCCAACTTCTCATCCCTAGACTGGGGTGAACAAGGCCACTCCTCAATTTCCCTTTCAAAGAGTGGCCTTCTGAATCTTGGGCACCAAACTATCTGCTCCCCAATTCTTTCATAACTGAAAATTCATTTCCGGTTCCGACAGCCTAAATAATCTTGGGAAAGCCTCACACAATCTTCCCACTCCACTCCAATCATCCTCCAAAAATCTTATTCTAGATCCATCCCCAAATGCAAATCTTGTTAGATATCTGAACTCCCAGTTAAAATTCATTATTCCTTTCCATACACTCAGCCCATATGAAGAGCTGACTTCCCTTGATTCCCACTCAAATATCGTAACTCCATATTTACTAACCACCACCCTCCTCCATAAGGAGTTCTCTTCCTTACTCGACCCAAATCTCCATAACCATTTACCAAGTAAGGCTTTGTTGAATAATCTCACCTAAACCCCAAACCCCCTCCCCTCACTGGGTCTACACCTTATCCCATTTAACCAGATGGAGCTTTTTACCCCTCCCTCCCCCCCACCCCTTCCCATAATAAGTCCCTTTGGATCTTCTCCACTCTCTCTGCAATTTTTTGGTGGCACCCTCAGCAATGATAAATAATACTCTTACCTTAATGCACCCAAGTATGCAATGAGAAAATAAACCATGCATTGAAGCATGAAGAACAAAGACAAAATAATTCTTCCCCATTTTCACGCACAATTTTCTACATAATAGCATCTAGAACGATTCTTTTTTAAATAACTCATAAAAAACCCAGAAAAAAAAAGAGAGAAATAACAAAGCTCAAGTCTAACCACAAGCCATAGATGATGAAATCCAAGAAAAGTACCTGCCCGTCTGCTTGAGCATATCAAGCATGTTAGTTTGGAAGACGTGATCAACGGCCTCAACACTAACACCGGTACCACTTTGTGGCATTGCAAAAACATCCACGACACGCACAGTGTATTCATCCACAAACTCACCAAGCATCAATCCCATGACTTCCATTGGAACCCCAGCTCTTCCTGCCACACCAATAACCTCAACAGTTCTAAACCACGTAATAAATCAAAACAAAATAACCTAATTTACAGAATTGAAACATTAATTCTAATAACTCAAAGGAACCCTTCAAAATGATAACGAAAAACCCAATCTTTATACCACCCGTACGACTAAAAGAACCCTAACAGAGAGAGAAAGAGATTAGAGATTCAAATTGAAGTAACGAGGGGCGAAAAAGAGAAGTTCTGGAGAAGGTTTCATACCGTGTTTGAGCATCTTGAGGAGGGCAAGCGAGGAGATGTAAACCTGCTCAGAGGAATCGAGAAGAGGGGAATCAGGAGGAGGGTGCCCCATCCCACCTGCACCCGAGAAAATTCTCTGCAATCTCTCCATTCTTCTTCTTCTTCTCTGCCTCTGAAACTCTGCTTCAGTGCTTTCTTCTTCTGGTTAATGTGAGGAAAACTACAAATCAAGGCGAAGAGGTGCAGAGTTTAGAAGTAATTTTAGGCTTGAAGTCTGGAACAACCACTATTATAGAATCTAGATATTGTCATGTGGAGTGGACTGTTCTCCAAGCTACCTAAATGGCACAATCACAACTTACGTCGATGCCATTGGATCTACTGGAGTAGAGATCTAAGGCCTACAATCATCTTGAGCCCAGCAGTTTTTTTTTGTTCCATCATTAAATCATAGCTCTCGTTTAATACGATTACCGCCTAGGACAGCGGTGAGTGAGATGTTGCGCGATCCGGGCACTCCTAATAGGCCGCAACTTAGTTCTTAGCCGCAATCGATGGCATTTGAGATGAAGCGGAACGTGAAAAATTCCCGAGTAACTCTCCCGGCGAGAATACTCCGATGCTTAACTTAGAATTCTGAAAAGACTCAAAGAAAATGTAGAGAGAAAACTAAGAGTGCTAATTGCGCTATTTTCAATACATTTGCTTCGTGAGGGTTGGGGTTTTCTTATACCGGAGTTCTGTCAAATTTGGCATAACCACCTCTGCCGCAACCGTTACTGTCAGGGCTGAGGTGGCGGGTGCAGGCAGTTGTTGCAGGGTACAGATTCGTTAGGCGTGCCATGCTTTTCAGAGAAGACAAGCACGACGCCGCCTAGTGGGAGATGTGGGCGCTGCCTCCAGATCCGGCAAGTACGGCTGTCAGGCGGATCTTCCCTGCAGGTTGTCAAGCTACTTTGCACCAAACTACCATGCACCGAGGTGTCGAGGTATGCCGAGGTGCTTACACTGGAGGCAGACCTCAGGCAAGTATGGACAAGAGAGTTGACGGTGTTGTCTCGAAGTGTTCCTACCTCGGGACACTTAGCAAAAAGTTGGGGTGTTCCCCTCTTAGGAAGGAAGAGCTCGGGTCTCAAGGAGAGCTCGGATCTCCACCCTTAGGGAGGATTTGGGATGAGTTGGGTCTCACTTCCCGGTGAGTTACCACATCCGTCGAGTTATTCGGCTGGGCCTCGGCGAGCTTGTTACGTCGAGTTATGGCCAGGCTGTCGCGCTGAGTCATCACCTATGCCAGGTCATGTCCACATGTCCCCGTGCTACGAGGTTGGGCCAAATCACCCTACATCAATTGCCCCCCACTCCCCGTGTTGGGGGTTCTGACCCAGCGTAGGGAGTCCGCGGTGTGCCGGGTGGGTTTGGCTCGGAGCTTATGCCTTCTTGTCCGCCAGATCATTGGTCGAACCGGTTCTCTGCTTGGCTCAACCAGGGGCAGCTTGGGTCGCTTACAATCTACGCGCGGATGTCACGCGATTTATGGGCTCCGCGGACGTCAAAAAAACACGCTAAACCGAATTCGCTTCGGGGGTCGTGCAGCCGGTATTCATGAGAACCGTTAGATCAGTTTAATGTCGACCGTCGATGCCCGCGTACAGTGGCTATAAATAGCAGGGGTCCTGGCCATTTTTCCCTCGCCATAAGTCCTCAGCCTTTGTCTTGAGCTCGCGTCCAAAGCCTCCAGCTCGGGTCAGTTTTCTCCAGTTCGATTGTCTTCCTTTGGTGAGTCTCCTTAGCCTCCTTTTCTTCCAATTTCTTTTCATTATGTCTAGTTTCGATAGTCAGTTAGACGAGCCCGAGCTGGGTGCCTCGGCTCAGGGTGACCCCGCCGGAGTCCAGTCTCCCGAGGCGTGGGAGGCCTCGGGTAACTTGGTGTCCACCTCTCACCGAGGTCGGATGCTGGATAGGTTCGGCCCTTCCATCATGACCCTGGAGAGGCTCCGATACCTCATCTGGCAGTACAATCTGCCTAGGGATTACACCTACAGTCTACTTGCGGGTAACTTCCCATGGGAACACAGCCCTGACGAGGTCGTCATCTTCCGGGAGCAGCTTATAGCTAGGCTCCGTCTTCCTTTCCACCCCCTCATTGTAGAGGTCCTGAACCATTTCAATGTTACAAATATACCAGCTTCACCCGAACTCGGTCCGTAACGTGGTCGGGACCATCTCCCTCTGTTGTGAGTACGTTCTCCCTTTGAATTTAGACATCTTTTGTTCAATCCTAACAATAAAGAAGAGCGCTTCATGCGTTCTCCTCGAGCACAGGACCGCCTACTATGTGTCCCCTCGCCCAGGCTTCAAGCTATTGCACAAGCTTCCTAGCAAAATCCCGGCCTGGAAGCAGGACTACTTCGTAGTCTGAAGCACTGCGGGGTGGCCCTTCCCTACTCATTAGAGGACGGTTATCCAAGACCCGGCATTATTCTGGATAAGAAGACAAGGGAGACGCTCCAGTCGTGGGCTGAGCTCGGGTTTAATTACAAGGACTATATCACCGAGAGCAAGCTCATACAGGCCGGCTTGAGCCCGAGTAGGTAGTCTTATTTAGTACCTTAGTCACTTGGCTTGCACCTCCCTTTCTCTTTTTTTTTTTTTTTTTACTAATGGCGAGCTCCGTTGCAGGTCCCATGGAAGCAGAGAAGCTTAAGGGGGAGAACCTCTTCAGCCACATGAAGGGGAAAAAGAAGCGGGCTGCCAAGAGAGCTCACGTTGAGTCCCCACATGCCCCCACTCCCAAGGCCAAGCTCCCGCAGGCTCCTATTTCTGAGCCTGAGCTTCCTGGTGCTCCTCCGGTCATCGATTTGGAGGGGTCCTTACCACCCGGGAGCATGAGACCTCGATTGAGCCTGCTACGAAGGCAGCTACGGAGCCTAAGGTCGTCATCGGGGCCGCCAACGCAGCAGCTGAAGCCTCCACTGAGCCCATCCGCATAGCCGAGACGACGATTTCCAGCTCAGGGAGTCAAGAGGGAGCTCGAAGCATCCCGGTCCCTCAGTGCGGCCTTTGGAAGAGCAAGGGGGCTGTCTACGCCGAGGAGGTTTCACTCTGGGCCGAACTCACTCCTCAGCTCGGAGCCCGAGCTACTATCCATACAATGGTGGTAAGTTCTCTTTCCTTTCTTTTTTTCTTTGTTCTACTCTTTTTTTTAATCTCCTCGGTGCTAACCGGCCTTTTTGTTAGGCGAACTCCGTCGTGCATGCCTTGACCCTTCAGTCTGAGAGGAACCTAAAGCGAGCTCTGACTGCCAAGGAGTTGTCTCGCGCAGCCCATGCTGATCTGAGGGCAGCTTGCGGCCAAATCCACCGGTTGGAGAGCAATGTTGTGGCTCAGAAGAACGTCATCGCAGCACTGATGGCGGAGAAGGAAAAGCTGTCACATGAGAGGGATGTGTTGAGGAGTGAGGTGGACGCCCTCAAAGCAGAGGCGGAAGGCCTCAAAGAGAATAAGAAGGCCCTTCTACACGAGGTGGAGTTCCTCAAGGCCAATATCGAGGAGAAGACCGAGATCTCCACTCAAGCCATAGAGGAGACAAAGATCAAGGCTGTTATGGACTACATCCAATCGGACAAGTTCGATGTCGTTCTGGGGGAGTCCTATCGTAAGGGTTTCAAGCTCAGCAAGTGGTTAATAAGGCATACATACCCGAGCTCGACACAAGTGTCATCACCACATCACGGATCATGAACGAGATAGGCCATCAAGTTACAAAGGATCCAGACTCCGAAGAGGAGGATGGTGACGAAGAGGCAGATGTCGTCGACCAGGCTGAAGCTTCTGAGGAGGTCCCGCACAGAGATGACAAGCCCCTGAAGTAGTTGTCCTTTGTACTCCGAGCCTGCAAGCTCAGTTTTAGTTTCTTTTTGTCAAGCTCATTGTACAAAACTATCTATTAATGAAATTAACTTTTTTGCCAAGTGTTATTACTCGCCCAAGCAATTGTTTTCCCCGAGCTATCGTAGTTAAGTGCACAAAGTAGGGTTTCTCAACCGTTGCCACCTCAAACTGTCTCCTAACACTTCGCAGGGGTGGTTTTCATGACGTACACTGATAGCTATAAATATATAACTCTAGCAAGTGCACTAGTTATCAAGTAGTATAATAATATCGTTCCCACGGGGATTTAACAAAATAAGTATTAGAATCACAGTCTTCCCTAATTATTTGGACAGTCGAAATTTAGATTTAAGCAAACAAGAACTACTGAAAATAAAAACAAGGGTGATCACCAATCGAATATGCAAATGATGGAATCGCTAGGACTTTTGGTCCACCTAACYAATGCAATGAATATTGATGGGTCCAATTATCCAAGACTAATTGTTATTCCCATAAGCTGAGATTTTCACAAATTTATTTAATATTCTCTCTCGAGATATACTAAACCTACGCCCATCAGGTAACCCTTCGATCTCTCGAGTAGAGCTCTCAAGATGGAAGTRCATTAAGTCCAAGAAAACCATTAAATTCAGATGAATCATGTATATATATCTCTATATACCATTCAATTCACACTATGAATTATTCTGTCAATTATGTGAATTCCTCTCTCAATTCATTCACATAACCCAAATCAATTAAGAGGTGGCCAAGCTCTTAATTGCATTAAGCACAATAATTCATAGACTATATAGAAATCACAATCTTGGATGAATCAAGAAGATAAAAATATATTCATTAACATGGTTAGGCTTTCCATAGCCCTAACAAGAAACAAATCAGTTCATGATGGAAGAATTAAAACAAACAAAGGGGAAGAAAGAACTCTTGAATTCGCTCATGGTCTTGAGATCTCCTCTTCTTGATGTTTATTGAATTCTTGAACCCTTTTTGACTAATTGCTCCTTGCTTCTTGATTCAAATCAGAAGTTGAATGATTGAATGATTCAGTGATCAAGTGATACCTCAAGCTGGTCCGCCCCCTCCTTCTTATAGATTAAAGGGGAGAGGGTGGTCTCCTACTTTCTCTTGAAGTTCATCTTTACAAGAAATAGAAAGTCATATCCTAATTCTAATCATATCTCTTTATCTCTTGAACTCAATCCCTTTTTCACTCTAAGATTTCATCAAGAATTTAGATCTAGAAGGATTCTTCTGAGTTTCTTGTTTTTGGATTCGTAATAGACCTCCTCTGCGAGTTGGGCTTCAGCCAAGCTTTTCTGCAAGTTGGGCTTCAGCTGCGGATTGGGCCTTCCTATGAAATTGCCCCGACTTTGGGCCCGTATTTGACTTCGATGCAGGCCGAATATGT